ACATCAATAATTCTTCTGTCCGTGTGTATATTCGTGAACTCCTCTTAAATGGCTGGACTGATTTTAATGAAATTTTTTGTGTGTGTTTCAATGAATTCGAGAATGGCTTAGATTTACAATTCATTCCACTGGAAAATGTTTAATTAATTAATTTTTTATTTACAAATTGTTGTTGATCTTGGAATGTTTTACATTGGATCTGGCAGACAGCGCTGTGATCGCAGTGTCGAATATTCAAAAATATTTCATTTTAATTTCAATGTGACCCGATAGTAATTGAAATATTACATTATAATAACGTTTTAATAAAAATTTTCCTCAAAACGGTCCAAACTGTTACAGCTTATTCAAAAAAGTTCAAAATTTTCGAATTTAAGACGGGTGTACAGGACAACGTCTGTCGGTTCCGCTAGTTTGTATAAAAATTTCGTATTTTGTAATGTATACATTATATTTAAAATCTGAGATTCTAAAAATTAAAATTGTGTGTATGTGTGTAGGTGAGTGTGTGCGTGTATAGAGTATTCATAAAGCATGACCAATTCTCGTTGCGGAATCCAATCGTTTATGGGCCACTGAATTTTCCCGATCTACGTTGGAAAGTATCCTTGAGGCGACCTCTTAAGATATCTACAGACTGGGCACTGGTATGGTTGGTTAAATCGCGACGGTCTACTTCGAATGCTATATTGTACGGGTGACCACAGACTTTGTTCTCTTGGATGATACTAGAGACCGACGTAGACGAGATGATTAAAAAAAAGACGAAATACCCAGGATTTTATTCTCCTCAGACAGCGCTTTGATTCTTTAAAAAAATTACAGTCTCAACTACATTGGATTATTATTTTATTCTTTCATTACTCCGGTAAGACTTTGTTAAAAGATCGAAGTAAGAGTGGAAAAGCTACACTTTTTTCAAACACAGCATTCACCAATCAATATTAATATCGTAATTGAATAGAATCTCTTATATTAAATTAAAAAGTTTCTTTGTCTCAAAAGTTGCTTAAAAAAAAAAAAAAATTTGTATCATTAATTTAAAGTTTTGTGAACATTAGCTTTCTTCAATGTCATAATTACTTGAAAAGTTTGATAATCTGTAAAGAGATAATGCCACAAAACTGCTGAAATCACCATCCTGATATTTATTTATTTCAAGTTTTATGGCCTGTCTTACAATAAAAATATAATTAATTTTAAAAGAAAAAACAATTTGTCAAAGTAATTAGGATTATTTATTATTATAAATTTTCATTGTGGTGACAAAACAATTTTTTTTGCCAGCCAGATTAAAAAAATTAATACATTTAAAATTATAAATTGCCCAGCTATCAGCGTCGAGGCATTTACATTTCGTGGATATTAATTATAACCCATTAATTCTCTCTAAGTTTTAAAACACTAAAACAACTACGATCTATAAACATCATCGTATTTGTTTTATTCTCATCAAAATCAACAATTCATTTTAATTTTTGTTTTTATCGACCATAGTTGTAATAATAAAAAATGTTCGACTTCGCCTATATTAGTCAGTTCTAGTGGTGCAAGAATGATGCAAACTTCAATAGTATACCATTGAAGTAAATGTGATTAAACCTGAATGAATATGTCAAGTTTCATCACATTTACTTGATTGACATAGTACTAGAAGTGATCAATATGGGTGAAGTCAAACATTTTTTATTGACAATTTATTTTACTCTTGTACTAAAATTGCATACACTATTATTTAGTATTTTAACAGAGTTCATTGGAATGTATTTTCAATTTCTTAGTTATATATAACTAAAATGTATTTAAAACCTCTATAGGTCAGCAATTATGAGTCCATCAAATTATGTATCAATGTTTGCTATTCATTTTTTCTTCACTGTGTAAATATCACTAAAGTTTTTATTTCTGCTATTATATTTTCATGTTATTGATCTCGTATTAAGAACAATATGTATCTTTAAATTCATCACCTACATTTTCATATTACTATTTGTTTTTATTTATTTTTTTTTTTTTTCATTCAGAATAATGCGTTTCAAAAACTTATAATTATAAAAATTCATTATTAATAAGTAATCATAAAAGAATTTAGCTTTGAACTTTATTCATTCTTAATAAATTTGAAACAGACATTGTTGAGAAAATATTAATTAAAAATACTTGTTTAATTAACAAAGAAAATTTAATTAAAACATCATCATAGAGCTGCGTTACTTGATGAGAAATTTGTTATTTACAAAATTTCACGTTTATTTATTGACTTAAATAACGAGTTATAAATCTTAAAAAAAATATAATGAACATTATTATTGAAATAAATTAGTTTTCCATCTTATCGATCAGTCTAGTATTATCTTATTCAGCTGCCGTAAGAAAATTTTCTCATTTTTTGCTGGCAAAATGGGATACCTTATATATACAATAATATTATAATGAAAAATTGTTCATATAATTTTTGTTGATAAAAAATAAAAATTATGTAATTATATATCATATAAAATTTTTATTTCTTTGCTTATATGTTTTCATATTAAATTGATCAGAAATAAAATGTTTACATATACATATTAATTGACAAATCTGAACTACTTATATAATCATTTAAATTAAGAAAAATAATACTTAAATTATGACTTACTCACGAGCTTCAAAGAGGTTTTATAAAATATAATAATTTCGACATAATCGATCAGTACAAAAGCAACGCCTTCAATTAAAACTCGACTTTAAAATTTATCAATAATTTTTCAAAACATGCCCACACTTAAAGCAAAAAGTTTCAGCACAGCAATATGAATAAAAGAAAAAAAAAGTTATGTAATATTTGTTGGCTGGGGTCCACGTAATTGCAAAATTACAGTGTCATTTTGACCTCTTTGGGTCGAAAAGTACGATAGAAGATGTTACTCTCGGGAGCTGATTTCTTCTCTGTTCTTCACCGCCATGGGGACAATCGAAGGTAAACCCCAGGATTTAACCCAAGGCTTAACCTATGCTAAGCAAGGTAACCTGCCTTACCAGCTCACCACTACTACAGGATATCCCTTCATCTCGCTTTAAGCCGCAACCAACTCCTTCTTGCCGCGTAGATTAAAATCTAGTTAAATTGAGCTCGACCTTCTCTACTGTCTACCGTTAATGGTTCTGACACTATAGAACCGAGTCGAGTGTATTTTAAAGGTTGACGAAAAGAGTTAACCATCCCCTTCCTACTGCTACCCACCATTCTACTTTATATTTTCTCGAAATTATTATAAATAGTTATACTTAGTGTTCAAAAAATAAAATATATTCGAATAAATTGTACAAGTTTGCTTAATACAAATTTATCATCAAAATAAAACGATAACAGTAATAAAATTTTTCTTCTATTGTTATCATATCATTGTTGACTCGAGTATTTTTCAACGATTATAAAAATAAGATAAACTTTATTTTTTTGAAAAATTACCGGCATTGTAAAAAAAGACAAGCAGTTAAGAATGATATCATTAAAAAGTCGCGTGAAAAAATCTCGTGAGAGTAGTTAAGAAAAATGACATCATTATTCGGCGCAACCTTCTTTTAAATAGAAATTTCTTAGATGATCGTTAACTTTTATCTTTTTTAGCTGGAAAATGTTGTTAAAATTTTTGCTTAACTCGACAGAATTATTGATTTTCAACAAACAAGCAAACACAATGACATTCTTTGTTATTTGTTATTTCATTGCTAAAACCATAACATTACGTCATTATTTTTTCACTTTGTGAATAACCATAGACGGTATACTGGCCCTGTTATAAAAACTTCTCTCATGTGAACGTAACATATGAGTATAAAATATATAAATAGTTTTTGATGTCTTTGAAATTCGAGAATAAAGAAACAGAGTTGCTAAACAAAGGTAATCTTTGAAAAATTCTAACTTTGCGTTTCTCTAAAGAGATGGTAATGTTTTTTTATGTTTTTACTCAGCTTTTATAAAATAACAAAAGCGTTTTTCTTATTTGCTAGTAAAGAAACATTAAACCGATCAATGTATGTTTGAATACACTAGAAATACACTGCTCAATGCTTTACTCTGATGCGCTTAAGCTTAAATAATCAATTTAACGTGATTGAATGTTATTGATTTTATTTATTCTACAGATTAAGCAAGTTCTCTTTGTATAGGTTAGATAAGCTGACTCATAAAATTCTATTTTTATAATAAATTAAAAAACATCATCATTGTCTATTCGTCCATACATAAATTTTAGACTAAAGGCAATGTTAAAAATCTCCAAAGAAGGGCATACAGTCGCTAAATCGTCTCCAGTATTTTTTATAAAAAGCTTTAATTTCAATGATAATTTATACGTTTAATTTAAAATGAACTTTATTATCGATCAATCTCAAAACCACGTCTGTTTTTGTTCATTCAGTTGGAACGACATCGATCGAAAACTAAAAAAATTCATTCATTCATCCACGAGAAAATATATCACTCAAACAAGGTTTTTGATCACACAAATGTACCCAACTACACTTACATGCACACACACCAGGATACTGCACATCATACTTTAGCACTTACATCAAGAACTGGTGAGAAATTCACTTTTTTTTTTTTTCAAAACCAATCGCACTTTAATTTTGTGATGAAATTTTTTTTGCCATTCAATACAATTCCTCTTCATCTGAAATAGTAAATAATATTTACAATGATTTTTACAATAAACGAGAACTCAGTGAAAAAGATTAAAATTAAAAACTACGAGGCTGACCTTAAACGCGTTTTACTACTTGCTAGAGTAATAATTAAATTTTATCAGTATTTAAAATATTTTAATAACCTTAGCAAACAGTGAATTACATTTTGTAATTCCATCTAATAACTTTTATTATCGAGTCATGAAACAAAGTTTTAAATCATTGAAACAGAATTAAACTGTCTATAGTTAAACTAAGAATTAAATACAAAATTATTTTATAATGTATGAATATAACTAATGTACTGTGATTATTTTATTTTCCAGAATGAAATACTGATGCATAATACTTCAGCAAGAATTATTCAATCGAATCAAAGTTTAGTTCTGCAGAGTGTAACGCGAAACAGTGCTGGTTATTATGCTTGTGCGGCAACAAATTCAATACGAGAAACAAGGAGTGAACCTCTGCTCTTTCGGGTTAAATGTAAGTTGAAAAGTTTTTATTTATTTGAATAGCAGGTATAATACTGTTATCTCTATACAATCATGTTTTTTTTTATCAAAAATAAAACTCACAACAACAAAAACTAATTTTTTCTATTTTTTTTTTTTTTTCAATCGCAAAAATTATGAAAAGGGTGTGAACTTTTTTTTTCTAGTGAATAGAATCCTTTCTAAATTTTATATATATGATACATGGTGAAATAGATTGTATAAGTCTTTTTTTATTCGGTTATTTCATGCAATGATGGCGACAGTGTCGTCATCAAATCCCGATTATCAAATTATGGCGTTAAAATTTATGTAGCGAATATTATTGTTATAAGAAAAATGATTGCCATACAACATAAAACAAAAAGTTATATTTATTCGACGAATGATATATCACGGCATAAAGTTTAGAACCGTTTGATTTTGTGAAAAAATAATAAATAGGTCACTTATTTGATGGTTTTGTCTAAAAATGAGTTTTAGTCTGGTGTAAAAACACGCCGAGAGGAAAAAAATAAAAAAAGGATAAATTTAATAACCAATAAAAAAGATAAGAGAATACACACATGACTAGTTAGAAATTTTATTACACTCGCGATATATGAGAAAGATGCCTGAAAAAATCGTCTATGTGAATATTTCAAAAGTACTTAAGTTCGTTCCTACATTTTTTATGTTCAATTCTTATGTTATGATGGTAGAATGTACGCTGAGAAAAGACGATCTAAGTGTATAAAAACAAATAAAATAAAAATAAAGTTACCAAGAAAATAAAGACGAAGCATGCATATTTTTATTCATATAGATATATATATATATTTTATGCCCTGACCATTTTGCATTGATGTGAGAATATATAACTTATAAATTTTGTGAGAATTTATTCAAATATATCAAATGTCAATTCAATATTGTATATTCAGTACTTATGTATGTATATACAAAATCAAATTGTATGTATTTTTAAAGAATATGCTTAATTGAAATAGACATATCTTCTACCCGAAATATTTTTGATAATTAAATTTCTGAGCAACTATTTATTTTTTCATCACTTTCATACACACATTGAACTGAGTTGCTTCAAAAAAATTCACTTGCATTCTAAAATAATTTCAGTAGGTATAAAAAAGAAAAATGTTTGAAATATTTTATAGAAAGAATGTTATTTTTCAAATGTGTCAGTTTGATTTGAAATTTGAAAAATATATCAAATTCATTGAATTTCGGCGATAGAAAAAATTTCTAATTTTTCCAAATTTTGATTGAAGTTGTCAATTCATACTAAAAAGACTGATAATTCCGTGTTTTCATCGTGACCCTCGAAATTGCCAGGATAGTTTTAGAGATTGCCTGTATTTGATAAAACTGCCGACATATGTGTAAAACATATGTGCATACTACGTATTTATATTTTGTCCACGTATTTGTTCTAGATGTAACGTATAATTTTTAGACATTTTGACACTGTGATGTAGCTATCTGTAAATGAAACAATAGAATGTCAATAATTATATCAATTGGTTTTTTGACACGTCAACATTAAACTAGGTCAAAAAAAAATTTTTTTTTTTTTTCAAAGACATACCAAAATAGTTATTCGGGCTGACATAAATAAAACATTGCAAAAGTTTGGGCCCTTCATATTAATATCATCGTAATTTTATAATTTTTTTGCTGAAAAGATTTTTTTTTCATAACTTTGAAAACGTGACTTCTTTTTGACATTTCATTGGTTCAAAAATAATTAATTCGTAATTTTCTCACTGAAACAGAATCATGCAATGAAAATCTTTGTGATATAAATAGGATCTGATCTATTAAACTAAAAATAGTCAAGATAGTTTCTTATTCACAATGCTGCACATAAAATGTCAATATGAATTCAAGAAATCAATGTTAAAAATTAAAACTGAAATCAAAACTTTATTTTTCATTGAAAATTTAAATTTATATATCAAGAAGTTAAAAAATAAATAAATCGTCGTAATACTAGTAACTAGAAAGGAAAATGAGTTTTCGAGGCGGATCGTTCTTTGCATAACTTGAATCCAACTGACGATCACAGTAGGTCGCACGTCTTAGTAAAAGTTCCGCCATGACAAAATGCTCAGGCGTGGTTAGAAAACTTATTATTTCAGCGATACACTTCGTTTTAAGTAAAAGGGAAAAAAAGGAAAAATTGGATACAAAATATACGTGCAGTTTACTTACAGTTAATAACAATAGTTTAAAAAACGAAAGATACGCTTTTATAGAAAACCAAACTGAAAAATAAATGAAGTAGGTCAAAATGAAGTCCAAAGGAGTCGGTTACAAACATACAAATATACAAACATACAGGTGAAGCTAATAAAAAGCGTGCATCAAGGCGAAAAATTCTTAAATCAAGTAAAATTTATTTAAACCAAGAAAAATTTTTTAGTTTAAGATTTTTTTTACTCAGATCAAGAATATAAAATTCTTCAAAATTATTTACTTGATTCAAGTTAATTTTTTTTTCTGTGTAAAAATAAGTTAATCAATCAAATCAAAACCTTCCGAAAATTCTATTATTGATTGAATAAAATGCACATTAAAAGAATAAAAAAAGAATAGAAAAGAAACAATCACTAATTGATTAACCCATTTTATTTTTATTTTTATTATTATCATTCTAGTCGCGCCGATTTGCAAAGAAGATCAAATAATTGTTGTTGGAGCATCACGAGGTGAATCCTTAAATATTAGTTGCAAAGTGGAGGCAGACCCCCCAGTACGCAACTTTCGATGGAAATTCAATAACAGTGGGGCAACTCTTGAAGTATCGCCGAAACAATTTACGATACCAATGCATGGCGACGCTGATGGTGTAAGCATACTAAAGTACACGCCAGTTACAGACGTCGACTACGGTACGCTCTCATGTTGGGCGGATAATGAAGTCGGTACACAAGCCAGACCTTGTCTCTTCCAAATTGTGACCGCAGGTGAGTCAACTAATTAAGATTTCTTATTTACATGTAAATATCTTAACAGAAAAATCATGTTATTATGCACAAACGTGTTCTGCATGACTATCCATTTTTAAATATTTATAAGATACATCTACCGTTTTATTTTGTATGCACACTCCGTTTAAATAATAAATAATACTACTAAATTTTTTATTTCATAATTTACCATTTATTTCGTCTGTGATAAATCATATTTATAATGAATTTTTAACATATGAAAAAAATAGTTTACCTTGCAAGCTATACCTCAAGCTTTCTGATAATTTCAAGCAATAAAACTGTTTTCTTGCCAATTAATTTGGTTATAATTTAACAAGAATTTTTTGTGATATTTAATTAAAAAGATCACAAATATTTCGTTTTTGTAAATTGATTTATTAAATTGAGAACTGACTATACTTTTACAATAATTTAATCAGTACAAAAGTCGGTAAAGGTCAGGTATAAGACGCTCGGCGAGCGTGGTCAGAGGTTTGTCAGTAACAAAGGCGCTCGGCGAGCGTGGTCAAAGGTTTTTGGGTAACAAAGGCGCTCGGCGAGCGTGGTCAAAGGTTTTTGGGTAACAAAGGCGCTCGGCGAGCGTGGTCAAAGGTTTTTGGGTAACAAAGGCGCTCGGCGAGCGTGGTCAAAGGTTTTTGGGTAACAAAGGCGCTCGGCGAGCGTGGTCAAAGGTTTTTGGGTAACAAAGGCGCTCGGCGAGCGTGGTCAAAGGTTTTTGGGTAACAAAGGCGCTCGGCGAGCGTGGTCAAAGGTTTTTGGGTAACAAAGGCGCTCGGCGAGCGTGGTCAAAGGTTTTTGGGTAACAAAGGCGCTCGGCGAGCGTGGTCAAAGGTTTTTGGGTAACAAAGGCGCTCGGCGAGCGTGGTCAAAGGTTTTTGGGTAACAAAGGCGCTCGGCGAGCGTGGTCAAAGGTTTTTGGGTAACAAAGGCGCTCGGCGAGCGTGGTCAAAGGTTTTTGGGTAACAAAGGCGCTCGGCGAGCGTGGTCAAAGGTTTTTGGGTAACAAAGGCGCTCGGCGAGCGTGGTCAAAGGTTTTTGGGTAACAAAGGCGCTCGGCGAGCGTGGTCAAAGGTTTTTGGGTAACAAAGGCGCTCGGCGAGCGTGGTCAAAGGTTTTTGGGTAA